ATTTCTATTATACATAGTTATGTTTTATTCATAAAGTTAGAATGACTTAAAAAATATATTGATCACAAACCATTCAAAACAATAAACTTAGCCCAATAAAACCATCAACTAAAAACGATCAGAATCACCAAACAGGGTTAAACGTCGTGAAGAAACCATGGTCACCAGACATACTAGACTTACACATTCTCATTTCATGTCTAAGRAGCCTAAACCCAGGTGCAAAACATGCAGCTGTGAACTCACTGTTAAACATTTATTTCTAGAACGCCAGAACGAAATCAAACATAAGCACCATTTCACTCAGACAAGCATTCGCACCAGGACAGGAAAAAAACCATTACTAACTTCACTGGAAGTAGTGTCGACAGATACTCCCTTCCCGCAAGTTGTCCAGTCTTGTTAAAATAAATAATTGTCAACACAATAATTTATTGTATWTTTACAGGTTGTAAATTTTGTTTACTTAAATAAAAAAAAAACTAACTTCATCAGGATTTCCGATCTCACAACGAGTATATAAGACAACGGATCAACGACTACATATTATAGCTATTATTATGTGAAATATAAAAATAAATCATTATGTAAAAAAAAAACTTAATTTAACCATAAGACATGTAAATTAATTTACAGGCACCTTGTATTTGAAGCCTTAAATAATAATAATAGCAAAAAAAAACAAGAAATATCTTGAAAATCCTCACTTGAGTTTTGAAGTTGAGTATAAAAATAATTGTTCAACACTTTACATTTAAACGTTATTTCATTTATATATGATTTTTATTAAAAAATAACATTTTTGTTCGGTTAGTTTTAACACATTTTTACGTTTAAWACATAATAATCGAAAAGAATGATCTAAAAAATTAAAGAACTAAAAAATACTCAAATAACAATTTCTAATTGAATAAATGAATTTTACTATTAATTAAGAACAAATAATAATGAGAACGTATTACAAAAAAATGTGATTCAAATAATTAAAGCAGTCGGAAAAAAATAATAATTTTATAAAATTGTATTTGGRKCGTGACATTTGACAAACATATTACCTATATTTTGTATGTTACAAAGAAATTCTCAAATATGAGTGAAAAAAATTATACATTTTATATCTAAAATTCCCAACAAACTATGGAATAAAATAAGTCTGTATAATATTATAAGATTCTGAAATATTGTATAATATTCAGGTTAGTGCAGACAGCACCTACTGCAAACACCTACAGACACGGGCCATATTAATTTAATACTTTAAATCGTGTACAATAATTTATTTTTCTTCGAATAATTGTTCCGCCAACCAGTCGTTGTCTGTAATTTGTTCAGTTTCAGGTGCATACGTTTTGATAAGGTTTTTTATATTTATGAGCCTAACATGATAAATATAATATTAAGAGGACGTTWTATCCGCATAGCAAATTTTACGCTCAGCAGAACACGTCATGGAACTCTGTTAGTTTAAAATTTATAGTGAATTGAGTCTAATAAAATGTAAATACAACCTCGTATGCTTTTTATCATATTTTAATTTTAAAGCGAATCATGAGTATTCCAAGATGTAAAAACTATTGAAAATTTTTAAATACTCATAACTCGTTTTAAAATTAAATTATGATAAAAAGTATATAAGGTTGTCTGGATAATAATCTTACCTTTAAATTTTATTAGATGTCAACTCACTCTAAATTTTAAACTAACGGAGCTAAACGTGATCTACTGAGCTTAAAATGTGCTATGTTACGCACTTGTAAGACGAAAACAACATATGCGGGTGTAGCGTCCTCTTAATTTCAATAATATACAACGTTGCCCGTATCATAATATTCACTACTGTAATAAAATTAAATTTAATAACACTGAACATATTTAAAATCAATAAATGATTTTTACGAGCGCTTAAAGTTTGACGAAAAATAAACGTACGATAAACAACCGCGCAGAACGGTTTTTTATCGCTTCCATATTAAAAATAATAATATTTCAACTCGGGCTTTCCACACCGAGATAGATGAACATATACCACCAGGCTTTTGTAAACAATAAATAAAAATAAAATAATCGTTCAAAATATAATTGTTTRCATAATAAAAATATTAATACTGTATGTACAACTCAACACCTTGGTATATTTAAGAAAATGTGACTGGAATTTATTTTTATTTTATTATTTTTATTAAGCATCAACTACAAGGTCGTAACTGGAATTATTGTTATATTGATGTCATTAAATTATATACATACCT